TACGCGGCAATACCGTCTGAACGGAACGCCACTCCGAGAAGCAGAAACTCAGAAAGATCTCGGAGTTTGGGTTGCAGACAGCCTTAAGCCTTCTACACAATGCTGTAAGGCGGCCTGGGCCGCAACCTCAATGCTATATGCCATTAAGCGGGCATTCGGAGTTTTTGATGAAGACTGCGTCACCAAAGTCTTCGGCACGTTTATAAGGCCCCATCTCGAATATGCAATTCAGGCCTGGAGACCGTGGACGCATCAGGATTACGATCTGCTCGAAAGGGTGCAGAGACGAGCAACAAAATTAATAAGAGGTCAAAGTGCACTGCCATAAGAGATCCGCTTAACTAACCTTAAACTCTATCCTCTGAGTTATAGGCAGTTGCGCGGAGACATGATACAAACTTTCAGTATTGTGCGCGGCTTGGATTGTACCCTTCGGTGCGATGACTTTTTCCAACTCGCCACAACAACTAATCTCCGGGGACATCCATTTAAGCTACGTGTGCCCCAGGGTAGTTTGAATGTAGGAAAATATTTCTTCTCCAACCGTGTCGCGGAACCGTGGAATAATCTGTCCGAGATGGTTTTCATGTCTCAATCTGTGGAGACATTTAAATGTCGCCTTGACAGATATATGCTGCAGCAACAAGCGGACTATGTGACTTTTTATCCATGTGACTAGTGTCATATGTGAATCAATGTATGCATTCACTTAATGCTGTAATTTCTTCACATTTTTGTTTACTTATCGATTTTTATGTACAAATAAGGAGTTCAAAGGCGTAAGCCTATTTCCCTCAAATACACTGACTGACTGACTGACTGTTCGAATGAGTTCTCCGTACGCGTGTAGTACAAGGATTCGCAATTGATATCTGGAGAGTTAAAATCTCCAAGGTTTATCACATTTTGGCTACGGCTAATTTGTTTCAACCCTGTGATGAGTGCGTCATCCATATCCTTTCGCTGTCCTGGTTGTCTGTATACCAGCGCAGTATGGAGGTCCGGTTGGCTTGGTTATTTCAGTTTACAACCAATGATTTCGCAACCGGCGCCCCCTTATGACGAGGATCCATCCGCTGCATAACTGATTTCGTCTTCTATGAACATTGCGATTCCCCCACCTCTGCGTCTATCTCTACCCATACGGATAAGCTAAAAGCCGTCCAGCATGGCTTCTGAGTCTTGTTCGTTGAACCATGTTTCTGTTAGAGCCATGAATTCAGGTTCCAAATAAGCCACGGTCAGCTTAATCTCATCCATTTTGTTGAAAAGTCTTTGTACGTTTGTGCACACCATTATCTCATTTTTTGACTCTCTCGGTCTCTGGAAATTGATTGTTGGTTCTTGAACCCGAAAATTATTGCTATGCATTTCGCACGACATATCCGGTTCATTGTCTGTCTTCAAGTTTACAAGTGCTCCATGGAACTGATGACTGACATGGTAGCCGTTGATTTTACCGGATGATTCCGGAGGATCTTGCGCTCCGTTTTTATAATCTCGTTGCCTACAATCTTCAGATTTTTTTATCTCTCTCTCTCCGACGCCTTTTTACCCCTGCTGTCAGTGTTCTCCTTTTCATTCGACCGACTGGAGAGTAGTCTGGCTGAAAAAACACTTCATGATTGTTGTTTCGTTGCCTGGATTTTCGAGAGAAGATCAGATCTGCCTGTTGCTAGTTCCCCAAGACGAATTTCAATGATCTTGATCACATCTCGTCTACGTTGCCTTTAAGTATAGGCTCCAAGCGGAAGACCTTTTGTATTTCAACCACCTCATCGGGTTCTTGAGTGAAATTTAATAAATTTTGCAATTTCAAAAGGTCCTGCTCGACCCTCTACTTCACAGTTTCGCCAGTAGCCTCAGAGTCTCTTTGGACCACCACACAGAGTGACCCTTCAGGGAAATAACCGGCCATCTCACCCTGCTATCTTTTACTTATGGCAGGTTGATTCGAAGACTTTGATTATACCCCTATTATTGTGCTTACATTGCTATCAAGCGGTGAGTTTAGTGTTTGATTCCCATGCGTCGCTTTAGATCTTTTAATCATAGCCACTTCTTCCAACTTTCCGTCCGTTCGACTAGCGTCCGGTGGTCGTGGTTTTAGGCTTGTGGCGTCCATGTCCTTCGCTAAGTTGCTCACGCCCGCGATGTACGCCGTTACGTCTTCACTTTGTTGCCCCATAGGACATTTTACACCAAAGCCTGATAGACATGTGTAGGACAAGCTACTAGTGCCTTTTTATGGCGTATGTAAGGCCATACGATCACTATCTACAGTTTTTTTGGAGTCCACGATCGCTGGTTTACTTTAGTGCAGACGGACTCTATATGAGCTGGATTTGCCAAACTTGGGGAAATGCGAGAACCAGTCCAATCTCCGTCTGTTTTTTTTTGTCCTCATCCATTTCGATTGAGTCGAAAGATCTATTTAACAAGTTCGTCCGTTGTCCTTTCTTGTTTCGTTGAAGTGACGTCCATTGCCTTTTTCCGCTCCGGCTCATTAATGTCTTTCATGTCTTTTATATCGTGTTCTGGGGGTTGAATTTAGTTAAACTTAAGAAGAGATGCTTTTCTTTCAAAATTCGGGTGGTGAGTTCTCGGCATCCATCACAGCGTGTTGACATTTTAGTATTTAATTTATTTGTGGTCGATCTCAGTATTGAACTGCATTCTTCAGGATCGATGGTGGGTGGCCGATCGCGCCCAGCTGACATCGAGTTATGTGAGTATTTGCGGTAAATTTTTATCACAGGAAATAGAAAACGGCATACAAATAAGTGATAGACCACCTTTTTCTGGGTGTATATTTTTCCTTGGCCATCCGTCTGTCCGGGTGTGGCCGAGCGGCTAGGAGCGTCAGTTCTCGTTCGAGGGACTCCTGGTTCGAATCCTTGGTGCGGCCAGCCTCTCTCAGTCATTGTAGGGTCGTAGACATTTCCATGCTCCATGCTAGCAAAACCTCATTAAGATTGCATCATGTTATAACATGCGGCTTAAAGTGGTAAGTGACTAGTTTATTGGACACAAAGCAAAGCTTGTTTCCAAACGAAATTCAGTATCAAATGTCAGTTGGCATCAAAGAACGACTTAGCCTTTGCAGACAGCTTGTCAGTAGTCTTCACTTTCTGCTGGTTTCCGATCACTTCGCTGACGGAAGAATGACTTCGAAGGCACAATAAAGTCGGTGTTCGTAGGAATCTGAACTAAACCGAGCCAGATACTTCGTTAATTAACGAAGCTTATAAGCTCCGGATAGCGGTTTCCTGAGAGCCTCGGTAAAGGATAAAGATATCGTTGATAATGTGGTCCGCAAAAACGGAGATAAATTGCATTTCTAAGTTGATGTATGGACCTATTTCGACGAGGCGTAACTCTTGACATAGACGGGTGACCGAAATGTCAAAACTCGGGAAGACAAGTAAAATCCAATCGAATTCAAACAACGCGTGCTGAGCTTGACTCTAGAGTCTCATTGTGACTGCCCCAATTATATGTCCTTTAAATGATGCGTATTTTCACATGTCACCTGTCTTGGGTAAATTCCTGTGTTGACTCATTTTGGTGCCCCGTTAGATACTGGGGCATAAACTGAAAGAGTTGGTCTCAATGCATCATTTACTGTTTCTTGGTTCGTTGCCGATTCTCATGCTAATCACTGGATGAAATTACTTTTCATTAGCAGAAGACTATAAAGGTTTTCTTTTTTTGGCCCCTGGCTTCAGATTCTTTACCAGTTGGCGTCTGGATATGGAGTGCACCAAATTGAGCGTGTGACAAACGTCACTGTTTGGCGTTCTTTAATTTGGTGTTCGACAGGACAGATGGACGCGTTGAAGTCGTATGTTAGCGATTTGTGCGATGAGCTCGCAATGGTTTGCGTATTTCGACAGGGTTCCTTTACACCTAACTTATTTAGGACTTCGAGGGCCAGAAATTGGCGGAGAGAATTCTTAACTTTTTAATGCCTGCCATGTGTGTATGTGAATAACAGTCTATGCATTTTTTAGGTTCTCGGGTTTTGTTTAGGATATTTTAAACAGCAACTTTGGATAAGTGTTGCCTTTGTTCTTTGTGGATTCGTTCTTTCTGCGATCGTAAGCCCGTTTTTTTTAGTAGCCTTATTGTTTAGCTTACTCTCCTACCTTGGCCAATATATCGTCGCCATCCTCTCAATTGGAAGCCCCTTTTAAAAGCGAAGAAAGAATAGTAATTTTGTGATTTCTGGGTTTATGGGCTTTCCGTATCAATTAAAATATTAATACATCTCTCACACTTCGTTAATTTGGGGATTATTTGCACTCGCCCAGGCCTTTGTATTTTACTAATCAGAGGTGAGCACTTGAGCCCCCCACAAGAATAATCCACAAATGAGTCCTCTCAATTTCATCACTAGGATCATCTCTGCCATACTCAAGGAGTATTATCAAGAGAAGACTGGATTGATTACCTTTGCCCGCTTGCCGTCAGGAAGCCTTACAAAATCGGCCTTATTCTGTTCTGTAACAGAGGTACACCGGTTAGCACTTCCAGCGTGATTATATTCCTTACGATTTCGACTTTCGGATTTAAAGAAAGATAGGTGCGGGGAACGCAAACCTACGTACACCCTACGCTAGCCGTCATCGCCACACATTTGGCGCCTAAACGGCGGGTTGGCAACTCCTACCCTTGACTATGTTCTGCGGTATGTGGGAAGCCTGACACTAATAACCACAATCGTTTTATTGTCGCTATCTGTCTCATGACCGTTGTTACCGCCACCATCGCTTTTGTCCTTACTGTGACTCGTAGTTGCCACCATAATCGAGAACTCGATACCGGTTCATACTTGACTCAGTCTGCTACCTGTTCTGAAGTCCCCTGTGCCGCGCACCAGTTCGGTTACTTAACGCGTTTTTATTTTGTCCACCCTATTTAACCCTCAGCTTATTATTATATTCCTGCCATCCATTTGCGTGGGAAGTCACTTAGTCTTGCGCATTAGAAGACAAGATGACTGGTAGGATTTAAAAAAACGAGAACATGTGCTACTTTCGCTCATCTTTGCCTCTACTGAGCTGTTTGGCTGACAGGAATCGCGGTGCCTTTGCTCAGCAGTTTTTTAAGATTCATTGATCTGAGTTTTGTTTGCAGAATACTTGTAAAAGATAACCCCATTGAGTGAGGGGCTATTAAGCAATTTTGCGTGTGTCATCGACATGGCTATCTCACAGTGGCGTCTAACGTAGTATGAGTAACCGTTTTTTAGTGCAGCCATGCGATGCGGACTATAAATTTTCATCCTGTTGCTAGTATTCGATCAGTAGGGTGTTTCAGTGCTCCAAAAAAATACAACCACAAGCATATACTACTGCTTAAATTAACGAAAAAGTAAGATAACAGTAGGTACCCTAGGCACGATCGATTGCGGCTGCCTCAAGTGACGACGTCCACTACTGTCCCACGAGATGGACACAGCCATGAATTGTATATGGGTTTGTTTGTACCGAAACATCTACGCTACATCCGCCTTTCTAAGCCCATCGCGTTTTGATGGTAAGCCAAAATGAAGACGACCAGAGACGTGCACCGGCGTAGTGTTGGACAAAACTACCTTTCGTCTACGTCTGTTACACACATGGCCCCTGACTCCACACATGCCCGGCCTCAGTGAGAGGATCTTGGATACCATCCCATTGAGAGTCAGAACGGCAACACCAAAGAGAAGCCGTTGCGACCTGACCCTTAGTCGGGAATCACACCAGTGCCGGATGAAGCGGTGCCCTCTTCGTTAAACGTGTGCCACGCACGTACAGCAGTATCTAGGTAGTAATACGGACTTAACACACGCAGTGAGTGGTGCGGTCCATTTGACACAGCATAACAGCTGCGCAGCCCGTCTTGGGGAACCTTAACTATGCAGTAGCCTACAAACTGAATCTTTTTGTTCCCCAATTAGGCACGTCTTCAGGACTTCATCTATCCAAGGTCCCACTAGATGGGACCGGTATAAAGAACTCATTACTTAAAATAAGTGAATGTCACTTGGCCACAGTGCAACATCTTACATTTTTTCAACTTTTCAGGCCAGGGATACAGTGTAATGTGATGTATTAAATTCGGAAACGGTTCTGATGGTAGCTTTCATCCTTAGTGGCCTCCAACACAAGTTTGACAATCTGCCGAACCATGAATGCGTTTTTTGATTTATTCTTAAATCAGGGTCTCTTCTGGTGTTGATTTATGCGTCTGTCACATGAGCAAGCACGCAGTTTGCCATGATTTCGACTTATAGACGGTCTTTACAAGGACATTTTACCCATTAGCTTTTCCTAAGGTCTACGGACAACGAAAAGGGGAAGACCACTTAATTTTTGTCACAAATCTCCACTATTTAAGGTCTTACACTGCTGTCCGTTTATTTACGCATTGTAGCCTGTTAGTGTGAGTCATAGACCCCGACCCCTACAAACAGACATGCGAAGTCCTGTCCTTTGAAACTCGGATTTCGGGGCTTACACTCCGCACAACTTCCGGACGAATCGTCCACGTTATATGCTTATGCTAAGTAAAGAGAAGGAAACTGCAATAAGATAGGTGAAAAAGTGCTAACGTTGAGATTGGGCTAGATTTCAGTCTGGCCATCCAGCCATGCCCAATCCCGAGATGTAAAACACCTGGGGCTCGATCGAGCGACCTGTTGGTTAGAAGTCCAATACCACTAACCACCTAGCCACGGGCTCGTCCTGTCGTTCGTGATCGTGTATATGCAATGGTAGAGGGATGCTCGCCGATCGCGCCGCTATGTGGCTGCTGGCAGGATTCGAGAGAGAGCCCCAAGGCACAACGGAACTAGTGAGTTCCGTAACGCGATCGGCGAGCGCCCCCTCTGACAAAGGAGAGTGCTCAAGAGCTCTAGCCTGATTCTATGGCTATCCCAACACTCACAAAAATGATGGTCCTCTCTGACTTATTGTAAGCCTTGGGGGTACTCCAAGGTCCAGATTGGGACGGCTGTTTGTCTAATCTCCCAAATTCATGATTACTGGTTCAGACACCACAGACAGTTTATCAACTTGCAGCGGTAAGTTTCCTTCTAAATAAAGCCATAGCATTTCTGACTTCATATGCCTGTCCATTACTATTTCCAAACAATATGCAAGTTCAGACCAGCGGAATGCCCGCAGATGGCAAATAGAATGAAAGGCAGAATTCTAAGATTCAATCTCAAAGCTCACCTCACCCGTGACTCGGCAATCTATGTAATGGGCGGAAGACACGCATATGGATTCACGAGTCCCTGGGTCTGTAATTGACAGCACCAAAACCATGGACCGATATTATGCTCTTGGCAACTAGTTGGTACCAGTGTCACCATCGGACGGCATCAGGGGTTGACATTCAAAAAACCTCAGTGCTCTCTTCCAAAGCATGCTGTCCACGATGTAAGAGGGTAATAACGGCCAGGTTGTCTAAATTAACGTCTGTTCACGAGAGAAGTACGACATAAGAAGAGAGTATCAGTGGCAACCATCCAATCATCCACAAACGCGCCTGCGAAACGGCGCCCTATCGCCTGATTGTAAGGCACTGTCGTGGACCGGAAGACGAGGCGCATCGATCAAATGGCTATCCGTCCAAATCATCAAACTGGTAGATGAATAAATGGCATGACGGCCCAAATGCTGGTAGGATATTGCGTACGACAAGGACGCTCCGTAAGCCGTCAGCTGTGTTCCCACGATAAATTCATTTGGGGTTATAAACACACGACAGTTCGACCGTAATCACCGACGATGTCCATCGTGTGCCCTGTAGCAGAGTGGGCGCAGGGACGGTGGTTTACGCGTAATCTTGTTTATTGTGATAGTAGGATTGCGCCACATCTTTCGCACTCTCTCCTCCTCCCCCACCTGAGCCCGTGTCAAGACAGAGTCAAGAAGACCAGAGGCGGGGTCGGGCGGAAGTGGCAAGCCCGACGCGAAACCGCGCCTAGTAGTGTCACCACAGCCCCTGATCCGTGCACCAATGAACAGGATTTTACGCAAGAAGAAAGAGGGAGGCGGCTTGGATCCCCACTGAGTGGGAGCACCTCAAGGGTCACGGTAAGGAGCCATTGCAGCCTGACTTCCCGTTCACAGAGGAGGATGGAGTTATCCCATCAGTTGGCAGCCTTCCAAGCCATGACTTGACGCACCGTAATCGTTTAAATGTGCATCAGATTATTTATGGTGTGGAATATGCGTTGAGTGTCGACATCACCTTCTCTTTCCTCTACTGTGTACTAGTCGATTGTCGGGGCCGATCGACTAACTAACGTAGAGATTGGGCACAGTGACTGGCAAAACTAGAAACAGCCCGTCTGTGCGTGCCAAACGCAATCTGGCCTCCCACAAAGAACACCAGGATTTTACACAAAGAGGGTGGACTGCTCGGGGCTCACATGTGTGACAGTGTTATAAAGGCCGAATGGAGTAGTAACCGAGGATCACGCTTCCTACTTACGTGAGAGGTGCCGATTCCGCATCTGTGGTGAGTGGTGTAAGACGGGTTTGCGTGTGGTGTATGTGGTGATGAGGAATGTGCGATAGTGGGGTTCGGCCCGTGATAGTTTACCGCAGAGTAGCCTGAAGAGGCATGTGGTGGCGTAGGCCTATGCGATGACTGAATGTGCGTCGGCAGTGCGGACAGCTAAGGCGGATGCGGCGGGACCAGTAGGTGCTCCAGGCAGTGGTGTAGCAGTCCCGATGCTGTGGATTCGCAAGTGACCGATCAGGCCGGTACTTGACGTTCATGTGCGATGGCAGTATAGACAGGATAGGTCGGGTGGGGGGCCCGAGTCGATAACAGTTGTGATGCTGCTAGTGGTGGCAACGCTGGTGGAGGGGTAGTTGGCAGATTTGGATGTGGGACAATTATCAGATGCGCGTGGTGGGTTTAGCATGTCGGCACTGCGGTGAGTTCCGTTGTCGTGGATACACATGGGACCAAATAAACCATGCGGTAGGTGGATGCACGTGAGCAGTGCGGATAGTGAAGGCGGGCACGGCGGGTGTCTGTCAGGGCTCCGGGCACTGACTCGCCGGTCTCAGTCTATCGCAAGTAGAATTAGAAGAAAAAACAAAGTAGCCTCGGAAATGCAGCGTACAATAAATTGTTATTAAAAGTTGTATCACATTTTTTCTGCAGGTCGTGCTTTTGGCGCACCAAGTCAAACCGCTTTTTCAC